AAAGTAAAAAAATTTTAATACCCGAGCGATAAAGTTAGTTTTATTTGTATTAAATTTGTACTTACTACAGATGAGGCAAGATGTCGTCTGTTTCGTGGGGTAAGATGTCTTCTGCCTTGAGGTTTTACGGCATCTCTGCCATTTTAAACGAACGAGATAGCAATTTTTGCAACGAAATAGCGTTGAGATATTTAGTTGTTGACTTTGATTATATGTTAGTTTAGATGTTTAGATATATTATACATATTTATATATATGTTTTTTTTAAGGATTTTATATATTTAGTTAAAGGTATAAGATGTAGCTGAGTAAAGAAAAGTTTTATTACTCCTTTTTTTTTTTTTTTTTCTTTTGTAATTTAGGTGCCCCAAAAAGACCTAACAGGTTTGTCACAGAGCACCGCGGTTGTGCATTTAACGAGGAAGTTCACGCCTCCTTCCTTACCGTGACGCGAAAATATGTCCAGTGCTCGTTTCGAACCTGCTTATAAAGCAAGCGCTCTAACCACTGCGCCACGGCCGCACAATTATAATATTTTTTTAACTTAAAATTTAAGTAAATGATATTATTTAACTCGAAAAACTACTTGAAACATCTCCTTAAATTATAATTTTTTTTTTATTAAAAAATGTTATTTATAAGTATATATAAAATTATTATGTATTTTGTATATTTGTAATAAGGACTTTATTTGTTTATGTCAATATCGTATTAAATTACTTTGTTTATCTATCGTATTAAATTAATTTATTTATGCAAATTTTAACTTTATTTGAAAAAAAAGTTAAAATTCAAGTAATGTAAAATAAAATAAATTTTAAATTAATTTAGTTAATTAATTAAGTCTTAAGTTAATTAACACACATAATTATTATGTTTGTTTGTATGTTTATATGTTAACGTATATAAATTACGTCTAAATTTTAAGACTTTTATATTTTTTTAGTTACATATTTAAACATAAATAAAGGTGAAAAATTATGTTCAAAAAACACAGAGAGGTGCAACAAATGACAGAATAAAGTCTACATTACTCGCTATGAAAATGGGTTGCAGTCTGACAAATGTTGCATCAGACTTTAGTATTAACAAAAAAACATTAAAACGCCATCTTGACGAAAAATCATCGTGGTCTGTCTCTGAATAGAAAATCTCCGGTTTTTAGTAAAGCATTATTTGGCTTGACAACAATAGATGTTCGTCGTTTAGCATTTGATTTTGCTAAACAAATGGGGGTTGATAATCCTTTCAATAACAAGTCAAAAATGACCGGAGTGGATTGGCTGAGAAGATTCAAGTCTCGCAATGCACAACTTTCTATTCGAACATCACAAGCCACCAGTGTAAACAGAACTGTTGGCTTCAATAAGCCAAAACTAATGCATTTTTTTTCAATATACGAATCATTATTTGAGGAACATAAGTTTTCAGCCAAACAGCTTTGGAATATGGATGAAACCGGAATCACTATTGCGATTCCAGAAATGCCAGGAAAAATAATTGCAACAAAAGGAAAACGACAATTTGCAAAAATAAAAAGTGGAGAAAGAGATGCTATTGTAACAGTTGTGTGTGCAATGAGTGCCAGTGGTGCTTATGTTCCACCATTGTTTATATTTCCCCGTAATATTTATAATTGTACCAAAACTACTTTGCCAAAACTAAACAAAATTATTTCACAAGTTGAACAAATAAAACCTATTAAAGTTCATTATATTGATAACATTACAAAACAAGAAAGAGCAGCGACTAAAGAAATGAAAGACATAGTCATTAAAAAAGTTGACAAAGGTAATACTTTAGTTGTAACGGATTCGGCATTTTATACTAACAAACTTGTTTATCAAGACTATCTTTTTTCTGTTAATACATATGAAAAAATAAGTTCTGAATCCGATAAAAAAGGTTTTAGCAATCTTATTAAATTGATAAACAGACATAAATACCTCACGGCAAACGAAATAAAATATATCACAAACTTTAAATGGAAATCTAGTAAGTTCTATGTAATTCCTAAAATTCACAAATGCTAAGAAATCATTAATAAGGCAAAAGAGTCTTTTTTGCGAGGTTAGTATAATTTTTAATTATACTAATATCGTTACTTGTGGCACCATAAAATTTATCTCAAGATGTAAAAGCATATAACAAACCTAAAACCAAAATATATAAAAGAAAAATCAATCAATACACTAGAAAAAAATTTAAAAACTCAATATCGACTGTAAATTAGGATAGAGTGTATCAAGAATGTAACCTTGAAAACACAAACTTTGCCTATAATTATATTATATTTATAAATACTTTCTTAGAACACTAAAATAAACATTTCCCAGTTAAAGAGAAAGAAATAAAGCTAAAATATTTAAACTGCCCATGGATAACTTACGGAATTATAAAATCATCAAAAACAAAGCAAAACCTAACTACATACAAGGAATACAAAAATTTATTTGAAAAAATTGGAAGGAATTCAAAAAAAAAACCATTATTTAAAACAACTTTAAAAAGACAAAGGTGATATTCAAAAAACATGGGATATATTAAAACAAATAATAGGAAAAAGTTATACAAAATCAAATAATTTACCCGATAAAATTTTCATGAAAGAAACTGAATATATTGATAAAATCTCTATCGCTAAAAATTTCAATAGTTATTTAGAAACATAGGCTCCAACATGGCTTCCAAAATTTAATGCCCTGTTAACTCTTTTGCAACCTATACCACAAATCAACCTTTCCGTTTAAATAATTTTTCTGAACTAAACCATAATGAACTAGAAACTGCAAAAAACTCGCTTAAAATAAATAAGGCTCCTGGGATAGACGACATTTGTAGCTATATAGTTGTAAATGTGTTTCCGGTGATAAATCAACCCATCTATAAATATTTTAGTCTTCAGTTATTAAAGGATCTGTACCAGATAAGTTAAAAATAGCAAATGTAATACAAGTATTAAAAACCGGGAACTCATTTAGACTAAATAACTACATACCTAATTCAGTTCTTCCTGTATTTTCAAAACTTTTGGAGAGAGTAATATACAATAAACTATATAAATATTTAGTAAATAACAAAATCTTAAATCAAAAACAGTTTGGTTTCCAGAAGCAACATTCAACTGAACATGCAATTCTTGATATTATAACTAATATAAATGATTCCTTTGAAAACAAAAAATACGTATTTGGAGTCTTCGTTAATTTGTCAAAGGCGTTAAATACAGTAGATTACGTCATTCTAATAGGAAAAATGGAAAAATATGGGATAAAAGATGTTGGCCTTAACTGGTTTAAAAAATTTTTCTTAAAAGAAAATCTTGCGCCTACCCAGCAAACAATAGACGTCTTTTAGACCGTCTAAAATTGGTCTAATTTGTATCTATTGCCGATACGTATATTTTAGACGCATATTAGAGATCGAAAAGACGTCTGATTCTAGAGATACTATTTTTGCTCTGTTTTAGATGCATATTAAATGCATAAAATAGATCGTGCATAGATAATATTTTTTCATCTAAATTTAGATGTCTATAAGATGTCTTTTATAGATTTGTTTAAAAAAAAAGAAAAAAAATTTAACTAATTTTACGGAGCGATAATTATAAATGACCGCCATTTAAAAACCATGCGGAAACTTATTTCAAAAAAAAACATGAAGATTTTAACCTATAGAAGACATTAATGATTATTTCTTTTGATAAATTTTAAATAATAAAATAACATGCTATTATAGTTATTTTATTTATAAAATAACTATAATAGCATGTTATTTTATTATTTCGATGATTTGATGCTTAGCATGTTTACACAAAATATTTCGATGATTTGATGCTTAGCATGTTTGCTAAAATCTTTGTGATTTGAAATTTATTTTGCAGAAATATTATAAAATTAATATTTTCAAGTTGATATTTTTATTTCTAGAATAAAAGATAATGTAATTAAAATATATGTATATATATATATATATATATATATATATATATATATATATATATATATATATATATATATATATGAGTGTTTTTCAATAACACAAAAGATTGTTTTATTGGTTGTGGTGCACTTATCGTTTTTATCGAGGAACCAAGATTCATTTATGTCTTTTACAAAAAGGGCATACGAAAAGAGACGCAGTAGACGTGTCCAAAAGGAATATTAAAAAATACTAGAATTTTCATCAGTACATATAGAAAAAAATCGAATGTTGGAACTTCTAAAAGAAATGGTTTCTTATCTTGCGAAAATCTAAAAGAATATTTTGACCATCATGAGTCATTGATTTTGTACAATGAATACTCTTATGACCAAAAGTTTAATGAGTATATGCATAACCCAACTTTAAAGGAAAGTTTTTCTGCATGATTTTCTAACCAAGTAATGTTGCACTATACAAGTGGATTGACAAAGAATAGCAACAAATTTATTGTCCCAAAAAAAACTATAATCATGCACTGAAAAACAACCTTTCATCAACAAAAGAATGGCACAAGTTTCCATTGATAAAGTGTAAGATAACAGATGGTCAGTATCTAACTTGTTTTGTGTTTTTTTTAAAACTAACTTAATTACTTTTTTGTAGCAAAATGTTTTATAATAAGATTCATTTTCATGTTGTGAAGAATACAACTTTCTACATCAGATGAGATATATGTTAAAGAAAGTATTAAAAAAAAGAATAACAAATCATACCGCTCTTCATTGCCAGAACTTCCGCCACCTATTATGAATAAGCCCAATGCTAAAAGTATAACACAAATATCATAATTTTTTTTTAATGGTTTATAAACTGAAATAAATTCTTGTTTAATTTGAAAATTTTCCTTTTATTTTAACTATTTGGGTGTCCTATTATATATAATGTTGTTAAATTGGTTACATATATTTATATCATTGACAACATTCTATTGTATTAAATAATCCTTTAATCAACTTGATATGAAAATTGAAAATTGATTGAAAGCATGCTGAAATTATTTGAATTCAGAAATTGAAAGAGTACAAAATTGGTTAAAAGATTAAATTAAGTAACAGGTATTGTTGAGGGATTATTTATAGTTCTAATTATAATTATTTCTTATGAATAGAGTTATTTTCAGATTGAAGAAGATGTTTTTTCTTCACATTTTATTGATGAACACATTAAAACCAAGCAAGTTCACATTGTCAAAGAGTTTCAAGTTTTAATGTGAGTACTTTTGGTTTTTACACCACTGAATGCTAATGTGGAGGTCTTTTTTATTAATTTGTTTTAGTTTTAAAATAATTGTAAAAGATAGGTATAAAAGAATAGAAATGGATTATTTATAATATTGTGATCCGATAAATCATGTGTGTAGCATTTGGTCAACTTTACCTTTAGTAGTTAAACAAAATTCTTTAATATCGTAACCTTTTACAGGAGGAAATATCAAGAATTGCTCTTGAGCCAAGCCCAAAGAAAAATACACGAAAGTATAAAAAGTATAAAGTAGAAAAATACACGAAATTTTCTGTCTGTGAAAATCAGTCTATATAAAGACTGATTTTCACAGACAGAAAATTTTCCGCGGAACGGAAAGGAAAAAAATGTCATCCGATCATGTAACAAAAAAATTTTAGATGCGCAATTAATATGTTACAAGATTAAGTGTTTTTCTTTTCCTTTTCGTTCCGCGGAAAATTACTGTAAGTGGAAATCCGCTTTATTTTATCTTTAATATATATTAACAAACTCCCTAAAGCCTCAAGTAAACTAGATATCATAATGTTTGCAGATGGTACTATTTTATTTAGAGGAACGGGAAACTTGAACATACTTTTTAAAAAAACAACTCTCTCACGCTTTTCTATTTTATACCGTGTTCCCTATCTATAAAACTAATTAATATCTAAAAATACTCAACTAGAAAAATCGAGTAACTTTAAATTCTCTAAAAAACTTTACTGAAAAATTGTTTTTATGAAGTATGTTTGTATTTTAAACACTCATAGTTATAAAATTTTTTATTAATCCAAAAATTTTAAAATTAGCGTATAAACTAACTTTGTACTGAAAATATACAAAGAAAACTCTAAAAAATAAAAAATACTACTAAACATGCTTATTTACAAATACGTGAAAGACTATTTATTCCCTATATAGCATATCATGAACTAACATATTTATGTGTATTGAAATTAAATTTGTTTGACTTCTTTTTTTTCTGCCTTATTTTTTTCTTCGCATTTTTAGCTTTGTTTGTATATGTGTGTATGTATGTTTATATATATATAAATATATATATATATATATATATATATATATATATATATATATATATATATATATATATATATATATATATATATATATATGTGTGTGTGTGTTTATGTCGTTTATGTATATATATATATATATGTATATATGTATATATATATATATATATATATATATATATATATATATATATATATATATATATATATATATATATATATATATATATAAATATATATATATTTATATATGTATATATTGTAATTTAAGTAGTTCTAATCTAATATTTTACTCTTAATAGAATTAGAAATAATAAAAAATAATAAATATATTTTCAGATTTTGTATTTATATTATTTATGGAATTATTTTTTGTTTGTATACAGAATAAAAACACAAAAAATGATGCTTTTGAAACCATTGATAATTTCCATCAACCAATTAAATTATCTCTTTAACCAAATTATTACTTAACTCATTTAACATTCGTGTTTCCGAAAAGTTTGAAAGTTCCTCTGAAAGTTCCTTCCAATTTAGAAAATTATGGTAATCAACTGCATCAAAGTTTAGAAAAGGAATTTTGAATTTCTTTACTTCTGTAGAGTTTGCATCTGTGCATTGTCTTGCAAATCTAATTCCTCTAGTTGCAAATTCTTTAATTTTTTTTTTATCTATCAATAAACGTAAATATTAAGGTATTTTCTGAATACTAAAACCTGCGTTTCTCTGAATGCATACATCAACTATAAGTTGATCACTTTCAGAAAGGTATTGTGAGAACTAAATTAGGCGTCACAATAATTTTTCCCCTATGTATAATAAGTAAGAATTACGAACTCGGTAGAAGGAGGAGTGCTTGCAACATAAAAATAATGACTTGATTAGCTGTTGTTAGCCATCGAGAATAAACGAATGGGCCTTGCTCTTTTTTTGCTAGTTTTTTTTTCAGCTCACTTAGTTCAATTGCCTTCCGCATGTTAGAAAGATACTAGTAATCTTTCCTAATATTATTTGTCTCAGTATGATGTAGAACACTCGTTAAGTTATTCTGTCTGATATCAAACTTAATAATTATCAACTCGTGACACTTTGCAAGTGTTTTCCACTAAACGAAGCAGAAGCCATCTAAATGCAATGTTAAATGTCTTAATGGTAGTTCATTAAATTGGAAAATACACACTAATCATTGAATTGAATATCCTAAATGCAATTCTAGTAATTTTATTACACCATTGTTCATGCTATTACTTACGCTAATTCTATCAGCGCTTATAACTAACATTTACTATTATCAATTATAACTAACATAACTGATGTTTTGTATTTGTCAAAAAAATATATAACATTGTTCTTCATATTTGTTGGTGATACACTTAATGGAGACACATGAACAAAAAAAATGAATCTTGGTTCTTTTAATGTTTTAATGAGTGTGTTTTTTTTTAATGTGTTATATGTTCCTCATTTGATTTTTTTAAATTTTATTTCTTGTATTGAATTACAAACCATCTAAATTCTTATTTTAGTTTTAATTTCTATAAAAATTAATCTGATACTGCTGCTAATAATGATGATGAAGATGATGATGATGATGCTGATGATGATGATGATGGTGACGATGACGATGATGGTGATAATCTGATGTATTAATCATTTCATTTTGAATAGTCGATTTAGATTTTTTAAAGATATAGCAAACATATTTGTTGGATGTTGCTAAAGACTTTGTACTGATCAAAATTATTTTCACTTTTTTTACTATTTTGATTTGACTTATTTTGACTTTTACTATTTTACACTTCAAGATTGATAATTGTACTATAGTTAAATAGTCTCCTGATATTTCGAGTAAATTTTTCGAATTCAACTTAACATTTTTTACTCTTGTGTTCTTGAACATAAATAAACAACACTTTTCCAAATTTTGTTATTTTAATTTAGAAAAGATAAAAAAATTTTTAGAAAATTTTTTTTATCATTTCTAAAAATTTCCTAATTTTTTGTGATTAAGATGTGTTTTCTGATTTGTTTAAAACTCTGTTCTAAAATTATTTTGCAGTTAAAACTTCTAACAAATCTTGGAGAGACGTGCACTACAAAATTGCATTTGAAATAAAAGTTGTCAAAGCAGCTAAACATTTAAATACATCTCGGAAGGTAAAAGTTTTTTTTTTTAGGTGCCTCAATTTTATTTAGGTGCCCCAAAAAGTCCTTACGGTCTTATCACAGAGCACTGCGGATGAGCATTTAATAGGAAGTTCATGCCTCCCTAACAGATATCGCAAACCTGCCCAAAGGTGGGGTTTGAACCAAGGATACTTTATTTCTGAGGCAAGTGTGATACCGCTGCGTCACTGCTGCTAAAATATATAGCTTAGGATTTGTGATATTTTTTTGTTTAATATGAATGAGAACCGTACGATTTGCACGACTATTGATAAATACAAAATACGTTAAACTAGATACAAAATAAATAATAAAATATTACCTTTTTTTAATGTTATTCACCTACCCAAGGTCCTTAAGAACGTCATTTCAGTCGGGTGGCTACTTTTCGTTTTATTTCTTTTGTGGTTACCTCTTTCTCTTAACTCGTATAGGAATTGAACTTAAAGCTTCTCAGTAATGAAGCGAGCGCTCTACCGCAACATCACTACCGCATAAATTGAAAAAGAAATAAATAATTTAAGAGTTTTAAACAATATTGGATCCTATATAGATTACCAATTTTTTTGTTGTGGTTAATTAGATGCTCCTTACGCCTTATTTCTGCGCAAAGCTGAACCATCAAAGTCTTTAATTGGTTCTTTGAAAAACCGCGGTTGATCCTAGATGGACATCCTAGTTATACCATGTGGGCTCGTGCAATACATAGCTGTATCTTGTAAACAACTAATAGCCTATGTTTGTAGTTTTATAGGTTTTTAACCAATAAAACAGCCCACAGGGCTTACATACAACCTATGTACTACTGTTGATTAGGCATATTTCGCTAGAGCCTCTAAGAAAGCGCAGCCTATGAGGGATGATAAATATAAAATTAGTATATAAATATTAGATTATAATACAATGTTTCTTGAAGTTTAGAAAACATTTATTTTTTTATTTTACAAAAATATATAATAGAAAATAGTACACTAATGCATGAATAAATAAGCGTGTTCAAAATAAATTTACTGGACTCGAACATGATATCTATCCGTATAAGGAAAGCCTAAAATCATTGTTTTTTTTTAATAAGACAAATAACAGAGAAATAAAATATAATGTAAAACAGAGAAACTTAAGTAAAAAGAGTTACACGAATCTAATTTGTGTAACTCTTTTTATATTTACTTATTTAACAATTTTTTTTAGCATTCCCTTTTCTAAATTGCTATAGTATGGCAGTGTGTAATTCACAATTTATAAATTATCATGTATTACAATTTATTTTAAATGGAAAAAATATACATTTTTTAAAAATGCGATTAAAAAGCATTATATATATATGTTTTAAGTAGTCTTCCATTAAAAATTGGCTAACAGGTTTCATTAAAAAATTAAAAAGGTTTTTGAAATGACTGTCTATTAACTTTACAATACTTCAACACAGCAACACCAAAATTCCTCCCAGCTTTGGGAGGAATTTTGTATTTGAATTTTTAAATTTAATTTGATTGGGAGGAATTTTGGGATTTGAATTTTGTTTGGGAGGAATTTTGGGAGGAATGTAAATTTTATTTTGGACTAGAGCTTGCGTCAAACCTCGGACCTCTGGGTTCTGAGCCAGAACTTTAACCACTGCGCCACGGCTGCTCCGCGTGTATTGTTTTTTTGCAGCTGAAATATGATATTTATATTTATTTTTGCAGATTATCATAATTTAATCAATTTTTGGTCTAAAAAAATTTTAGACCAAAAATTGCGTTGTTTTCCTCAATCATCTCAATCAATCATCTTAGGTAACCAGTTTCCTAAGATGAGCTTTTTAATGGAACTCAAAAAAACTCAAAATAACAAAAAAATAATTACAAAAAAAAATTAAATTATATCTTCAAGGACTATACTTAAGTAAAAAGTAATTATCTCAACCATAAAAAAAAAACAATAATAAATCTTTCCCATCTCTAAAAAGTTAACGATACTATATTTTGAAAAAACTTTTGCTCTTGAAATACCAAAATAAAGCTCTGCAGATAATAACTTTATCTAAATGTGCTTTTCTTAATAAAAAGCCACATCTCATCTTGAGCGTCTAAAAACGTATCATCTTATTCAGCAACTTCACGAAGTACTATCATAATTTAAATAACATGACAACATCTTATGTATTATCTCTTATAACCCATTGTATTAGCAGTAGATAAGCACAAAATATTAAGAATGTAATAAAGTTTTGATGATCTTGTTTCGTTCTGACATAATTACAAAATATTGAATAAAAAATTATAACGGGGATGGTAATTTTTTTAAAAGTAAAACAATCAAAGAATATTAACTATACGATCAAGAAATTAAAATAAATAACACCGTCGAATTTGTATGAATAACTTTAGCCATAATAGTTCGCGAAAAAAAGTATTAGTCTACCCGTAAAAAAGGTTATACCATCTTAGGAACCTGCTCATATTACGCAACCTTCTCCTACTTAACAAAAAGATGCTGCGTAAATTATATATACTGTGTTTTATATTGCAAATTTTCTAACCTAAAAAAAAGATAATGTCTTCGACCTTGATATGACAAGTTTATTTGTTAGCCTTAGATTTATCATGTCATATAAATGTTTTTTACTCTGTATATTACACCCTGAATAAGAAAACGTCAAATAACAAATATTTAATACGTCTGGCTAATTTATTTCTATAATATAAAAATTAATCATAAAAAAATTAATGCAGTATTAACTTTTTTTTTCAAAAACAATCGTCTAATATGTAAAAATTTGACAACAAAACTTTAAAATAAGTTGCATGTTAAGCGAGAAGTTGTCCAAACGTTGCAGAAAATATCACCAGAGCAATTTAATACTAATACAATAAATTAAACGGTTCTTGGTGCAAAAAAAAAATGCACCCAGTAAATAAATAAGTTGTAAAACTAGTGTTTGTGATACATTCCTAAAAAAAGAGGACTCAAAATGCCAATTACCAAAAAAAGCAGATCTTTTCTTGATAGAACAGCATTATGTTCAGTTTGGATCAAGGACCCATCCTTACTTATGGCGTGACTCAAAAGTTCTGGTAGTATGTGTACAGTTGCAACATACAAAAATGTACCAGCCGAAAACAGCATCGCAAGACCGGTACCATTTATAGAAGAAAGAGTTTCTTTGTTAGTCTATAATACAAAAACAATTATTTACAAATACACACATAGTTGAAAAATCTTATGACTTAATTTTAAATAAAACTAACTTTTATGCAGAATCACATTTTTTTAATTTTTATAAAATTGACATCATGAAAAGAAAAAAGAAAAAAAATATATATATATAACAAGGAATTATAAAGAAGAAAATATAACAATGAATTATAAATATTGATAATTCACTAAATGGTGAAGTATTACTTGTTTTTATCGAAACTATTTTATAAAGTCATTTGAGAACTTTGAGTGACTTACAAACACTTAATAATTTTTTTTAACTGATGGTAAGTAATGCTCAGGGGCGAGAGCGTTCTAAAACTAAAACTAATTAATTATGATTGGTCAAAGTTGACAACAATATTAATTGGTCAAAGTTGAATCCAGACCTACAAAAAACAGTTAAATGTTTTTAACAATTATGACCAACGAACAACGAGCATTTTTTAAAAAACAGCAATTACCAACTAATTAGCAATCAAATAGGGAAAGTAAAAATAATGTATAAATAAAAAAAATTGTTTTAAATTTTGCATATCTGTCTGCATATTAGCTTTTATTTTTGTTAAAAAGTTAATTTAAACTTTAATTACCTACAATAACTTAAAAATTACATTACTATCTATACTAGATAATATTAGTTTCTTTGTTTTGTTAATTTATTATCTTTATTACAATGTAACAAAACATTTGGAATCTAACAATGTCTACATTGAAAATTAACAATGCAATCCAGAGTGGGCCCAGAGGCGGAAATAGACAAAAAATATTTGTTTGAAAAAGTCTATAAAAGTTATTTATTCAGAAAGTCAAATTTGAGGATAAATGAAAAAAAAATGTTTTTAGCTAATTTCTAAGTGATGAATTGCAATTTTGAAGTTGATGAATTTCCAATTTTTTTGTGTATCTATTAAAGTTTAGTAAATTTGAAGTTTCCATCAAAATCAATTTACAGACATGAAAATTGATAAACCACTTGTTTAAAAGTAATACTTAATTTGATAAGGAATATGAGGCAAAGTTGTACTTAATTTGAAAAGGGAACTGAGGCAAGTTTTTTTTATTTACATGATTTAAAAAAGTTGAACAGTGATTTTTTTTTTTTTTTTTAAATATGCGAATATTTTATTTTTGGTTACAAATATGAAGTTTTTTAATTATTTGTTTATTTGATATGATTTTGTGTTTGTTTCAGCAGAAGTAAAGTATAATAAAAAAATAAATGTAATGGAGGAAATAAAAATGAATAGCTTTATCTGGTCATTAGAGGAACTATAGAGGCTGGGCAAAAATGTTTTAGTACAACACCTCTGCATAACCATATTAAAATAAATCATCCAAAAGAATATCAAATAGAACGAAATAAAAGTGAACAGAAAAGAACAGCTCAGGCTGACAATAAAATCACACCAGTAGTTTTGTCAACTACAGTAAAAGACGATATTGGTTTGGAAACCTCTAGGCAGACTTCAATAGATGAATATTTAAAGTCACAAAAAGTATGGAGCATTAATGTCTCTAGGTCTCAAACTATTCATTGTAAAATTGGGTTGATGATAGCCTTAGACAACCAGCCATTTACATTAGTTGAAGACACAGGTTTTAATAACTTAATGCATCATTTAGAACCCAGGTATTGCTTGCCAAGTAAAAAATATTTTTCTAAAACAATAATACCTCAACTTCACACGAAATTAAGTAATAAAATTTCTATAGATTAATAAAATCAAATTATATAAGCTTTTCTTCAGATATATGGACATGCCCAATTTCTCATGAATCTTTTATTTCATTGTCAAGCCACTGCATTGATAAAGATTTTAACATAATTGATGTGGTATTACATGCATCTCATTATCCAGAATACCATACTGGAATAAACATATCCGCAAAGTTAGAAAGTATGTGAGATGGCTGGAAAATTCAAGTTGAAAGACAACACCTTGTAAGAGACGGTGCTAGCAATATGGTATGTGGGAGTAAACTAGCTGAAATTTCCTCAATCCACTGTACTATTCACTTGCTTCAATTTGTTGTTTCAGATTCAATCATGAGTGAAAATATTGTAATTGATGTTCTTTCCAAATGCTGCCGACTTGTAACTCATTTCAATCATTCATCATTAGCTTGCAACAGCTTTAAACAAATTCAACAGCAACAAAATCTTGACCCTCTTTGTCTTGTTCAAGATGTCCCAACAAGATGGAATAGCACTTATCTGATGCTTAAAAGATTAAACAAATTGAAAAACCCAGCTCAACTTTACTTAACAGAACGTTCTGATTTAATGACTTTTTCTACATTTGAATGGACGTTAATATTAAACATTATTAAATTGTTAAAGCCTTTTTTCCAATTAACTCAGGAAATGAGTTCAGAATTAACAACTTTATCTTATTTTATTCTGAATATGTACTCATTAAAGAAATTTATTTTAAGTTTTTAAATGTCAAGTTGATTTAAGTATTCAAAAAACAAAGAATCAACTTATAACTTCTTTAAAAATTAGATTTTTTGCTGAAACAAATGATGTGAAGTCTTTTAACATTTTGACAAATAGGTACTATGTCATAGCTACTTCAACTGATCCAACATATAAGTTTTCTTTCTTTGAAGATTATACCAAAAAACAGGCTAAGGACTGGTTAATAAATGAAGTTTTATCCTTTGAAGAAACCCTTGTTTGTTCTGAAGAAGTAGAGTAGAAGTAGACTTTTTGTTTCTTTTCCCTCTTGACACCTCCCCTCCTCCTATTCTCTCTGCAGCATTGGAATCTAGGGGCATTCATAAAGTTAAAGTTCATAAAGAGGCATTATCTAAAAGTGTACAAATATTATCTAAAAATGTGCAAGTGTGTATAAATGGGTAGGGATAAGAAAGCAAATGTGTAATAAATGGGCTAGGGGTCCAGACAGTACTTATGTACATGGTTGGACCATCTTTTTTTTTTTTATGAATTTTACACACGAAATAACTTTTATTTAAAAAAAAGACAAGGAATTTATTGGGTGAAAAAATCTTTGCCAAAATACCAAAAGAGAGAAAGAAAAAAAAAAAATGAGATTATTTGGTAGAAAATTTTTGAGCGAAACAATTTTTTAAAATTTTGCTTTTGGTCATATTTTGCGTTCTAAAAACTTTTTTTTTTGAAAATTTATGATCGTGTAAAGTTTTTTCTCTCCCCATAATAAAGGCATAATAAGTTAAACATCTTCATAACTTTGGAACATTAATTATTTGATGAATTTAAAGCCTCAATAAATTTAACTTAAGTAAAAGATAGTGTAATGAAATGTTTATCAAGTAATTTCCCTCCCATTTGGTGGAGGTGGTCAAGACAAATTTTTCAGGTTACTTTTGTTCCCAGTCTCTAATTACCATTGTTTTTGATACAAAACATTCTCATTCTATACAAGCATAAACATACTAAAGTTTGGAGTTTGCAGAAAGTTTTATAATGTAATACCTAAGACTTAAAAAAATGATGTTAGCGCCTATTTAGCAGCGTGCCGGTCATTTTGATTCAGAGTGCTCAAAATTAAATTTTCACATAGATAATCAATTCTCCACCGCCAAAAGTTTTGATGTAAATGTGTTCATCAAAAGATTTCTTAAAGTTTTGCTAACTTTGTTCTGCCCCTTTGAGCATAGGAGAGTTTAAATTAAAGAAACAGATATGCTTGTACTTACAACAGAGTACATTAAAAATATTTTAGTGCAGTAATAGCAGTTTTCACATTATTTAAAAATAAGCTTATCATCAAACTTTTAGTTAAAGACTTTAGAAAAAAAGTACAAAGTAATATCCGGTATATCCGGCCGGATATATTCTATATTCGGCCAGATAACTGATAACAAATCAAAGGAGAGTTGCTACATCAACTATCTTATGCCCTGACTCGCAACGGAATGATGCTACATCGACTGAGGGTTTAGTTAGGGCAGGCAGTCTATCAAATAATTAGAAAAAAAAACAAAAACTTTTTTCCTGTCTTTAAAATAATTTTTTTTTTTAAATAACCTAAAACTGACATTTTATGGTAAAAACTTAAAAACAACCACGCAAGAGTATATATATACATATATACACACCTGTATATAGTAGTAACAGTAATATATTTAAGTTGTGGCCGATAATTTGGTGAGTAAGTACACTTAAACAGCTATATCATTATTCAGCATAGTTACATCCAACGTCAAGTTTAGCGTTAATAAACAGAAACAGCATTAAAAACATCAGCATGTAGATTCCAGTAAAAGATGCTCTGTTTGTTAAAAAATAATGCAGAGGCAAAAAACTAGTTATTTCGCGATTATAATTCATTTGATGACCTCTTGCTGATTGATAATATTTTGGCCAAATTTCATTAATTAAATTTACTTTTTCAATTCCATTGAATAAATTGTACATTTGAAATAATTTACCCAGAGTCTGTCTTACAACTAAAGTAGTGACACCCATTTTATCTAATCTTTCCTCATAATATAATTTTTTTGTGGCTATATTATTTTTGTTGCATGATGCTGCACCTTTTATATAAAATTAACTTCATTTTTAAGACATGGAGACCATACAGATGTACCAGTTGACAACTTCATCTAGGTCATTTTGTATTATTTACAAAGTTCTCCGGCAAATCATTAATATAAATAATAAATAGTAAAGGACCTATAACAGAGCTCTATGGCACACCAATAAAGAATGGCACAAAACTATATATATATATATATATATATATATATATATATATATATATATATATATATATATATATATATATATATATATATATATATATACAAATAGTATTGCGTACTAAGGAAAGCAATCTGACATCATACTGAAATAGCCTGCTGCTGGGGGCTTCAGTACATACATCGACTGACAAATAGCCTGACTCACAGTGGAGTGCTGCTCCATCAACTGAGGGTTTGGGATAGGACAGCAATCATTTCATTCATCATTCTTCGTT